AAATAGACTTTTCTAGTTGATTCTTTGGGTTGTTTTAATTTTCTTCCTTTTCTTTAAGAAAAGGCAAACCATTAAATATTTTCTCTTGCTAATTCCAGAAAAAAATTTAAGCTTCATGAAAAATAATATAACAAAAATTAAAATCTTCCATTTCTTACGAGATTTCAAGATTTACAAGATTTCAAATCTTGTCCAAGCCTGACTGCTTGCTTTCTTGCTAGTGGCTTTGGATCCAGGAAGTTCTGTGGGTTCCCATCCTTAGTATTACACAGAGACTTACCAATGACATGTTGGGTCTTCCCATTCTGGAGTGTAATGTGTGCCATTGGAAGCTCAGCTATGTAGAAGGAAAGTAAACCTGACCTAGTAGGTCAGATATTTTCAGGTTATTGCATAATAATCTCCTTGCACTAAGTGAGATTGTAACTCTAAAGGGCAGATATATCCAATCTATACCAGAACTTGGGAATTAGGTTTTCATTCATTAATTAATTCATCTATTCATTCACTCAATAAATATTTCTGAGCACTCAGGCAGGATATAATATATCCCTAGATTTGAGTCCTTCTTACTCTAATAATTCATAAATCAGCTGTTGGAAAATAGAATACAGAGCTTTGCTATCTGAATTGACTGTCTAACATAGTTCAACAAATATTTTTTGAGGGCCAACTGTGTACATTAGGCATGTGCTAGATATTATGAATTCAGATATGAATATGACATGACCCCCAAGACATGTTAAATTAACTGATTTTGTGGCCAATTGTTTAAGATACCTAGACTTTAATTAGGGTTCTCTATTTATCCTTTCTCTGATTTTCTTCCTGTCTTAGCAGTGGTATCTATATATGCAGCAATGATTATTAAATCTTTATATTTAAATCTAACAAAAATCTAGGCTTGGCCATTCTGAAATACTTACCACAATCATCCCACAACTACCCCTGCTCTCAAAGTCATCTCCATAGCGACCTTCAGAATAAGGCAGAAAACTTTTCCAGATCTCAGATTCAGATTCACAAGTTCTACAGCTCCCCAAGCTATAGGTATATATTGCTATTTCATGTTGGAGTTTAACAGGCTCAAACTTCAGTGGCCCCAAACTAAGGCCATTTGCTTTTTAGTGGCTATACAGGTTTATCATCTGATTCAAAAGCAGAGGACAAAAATTCAACACGAACATTTCTTGAGTAATATGAGGTGGGTGAGGAGATATGTTTTTTAAAACAATATGTGTGTTCTTCACGGGAGCATGGGAGAGGATAAATAAAGTGGGTGGCAGAGCCCCCACTCTGAGGGAGCTAACATGTAGCTCTGGCAGACTGATATTGATCCCCTCTGCCTGGGGTAATGCAACTCATCGTTTGAAGAATGAGCATTTCTTTTTTTCCAAATTTATTTACTCCATACAGTATTCCTGATGAGTGATTTGGATACA